GGAGTGGTCGAATCACCGCCTCTTTCAAGGCGGTAGGGACCACTCCCTCTCTCAGAGAGGCATTCACGGCCTCCTGGACCCAGGTGCGAACCCCCCTGGCTGATCTTCCAATTAGCCAGGATGGGCAAGGGTCGAGCGGAGTGGTGGTAGAACGGACAGATCCAAGCACCCTGTCCACATCCTCAGGTCTCAACAATTGAAACTCATCCATTAATACTTGACCTAAGCATGGCGCACTGGACACATCCTCTGATTCTGCAGTAACTGTGGAGTCCAACCCACTGCGAATCTGAGCGATTTTCCCTCAAAATGGATGGCAAATTCATCACAGCGAGCTGATGAGCAGTCCGGGACCTCCACTGGATTTCCCAGTTGAAGAAGATCCCGGACCCCCCAAAAGAACTCTGCTGGACGACATTCTGAGGAAGCAATACGGCTGGAGAAATATTGCCGTTTTGCCAGCTGTATTGCCACGAAATAGGCCCGATAATGGGCTCTAAGTCGTGCTCGATCGGACTCCCAGTGGGATTTCCTCCACCTGCGCTCCAGCCGTCTCCCCTCTCGCTTCATCGCCCGCAGTTCAGAAGTATACCAGGGAGCTGTCTGGGCTCTGGTATACTTCTGAACTGAGAGGGCGCTTAGGCGCAATCGTGTCAACTGCCCGGGTCATCTCCCTATTCCATAGGGAGACCTGAGCTTCGACAGGAGCGCCGACCATATCAGATGGATAATCCCCCAGAGCATTCAGGAATCCATCTGGATCCATTAGTCTCCGGGGGTGGATCATTTTACTAGATCCCCCACCCTAGCCAGGGGAGAAGAAGCTAATAGACTAAACTTGACCAGGAAGTGGTCTGACCATGACAATGGGGTCACAACCAGCCCCTCCACATCCAAACCACCATCTTCCAGTCCCGTTGAGAAAACCAGGTCCAAGGTTATTGAAGTTCTGGTGGAATTTTTCAAGTGAAGGCATTCCATGAATCCTGATGACAAATACAGTATATCATAAATGCATCTAAAGCTAGAAGAGAGGCTTTTGAGTGCATGAGCTGGGGAAGCACTGTTCCAGGTCAGCCATGAGCATGTTGGTGTACAGTGGAGACCATAGCCATGCCACTGATGTGAAGAGATGTGGATAGGTGTGCTATGTCAATATTCAGAATGGTATTTTTGATGGCTCATAGTCCCTCCTTAGGTGAGATGCTATCATAAAGCACTTTTGCATTCGTTGTGGCTAAAATGTTCTCATCTAGAAGGTTGTAAGTGAACTGCAGTTTTCCTCAGGAAGTCTGTTGCATCGCTGTTGTAGGTAGGCGTACTGATGGTATATGATTTGAGAATAGTGGCTCTATATCCAGACAGCCCAGCAGTGACAGTGCCAATGCTTGAGGCAATGGACTTTCCAGGAATAGCCAATTACCCATTATTTTGGGAAGACTACAAAAGGACACTGTGGAAATTATTTGGTTCCCTCCAAAGTTGCCCAGGAAATAAGTCTGACTTTGTTATTAAGCACAATGAAGCAACTGCCTTATGCTGCAAATTTTATCATGAATGGGCAACATATTGCTGGACATGTACTTTGTTGTTACTCTGTTTTTACTGGATTTATTGTGTTTGTGGGATTTTCCACATCAGTGCCAAAATAAAATATCTAGCCATAGGACTATGCCACTTGAATAAGAGAAGGAGGATTTGATTCTCTGCCTGAGACAGCAAAATATCTCAGGTCTGACAGAACAATGGGAATTCACATGGCCATGTATCCAGCTCACTACTTGACAGGAATTCTCTTGGCTAGGGTATGGTGGCGAACAGAATTCAAACTTGATCGAAGCTTATAGACTTTAGGTTTTAAAGACTTTAGTTCACAGATTTCCCCAAACCAGCATGACCACTAATCTCTTAGCGTGATGGCTCTGCTTCTTCTCTTTTTTTATTAGAAGCTCAAGGCCCTCCAGGTAGACCCATTTGTGAAATGGTGACTTGGACAGAGATATGTATGTAGGTATACATTTAAAATAAAGAAATAAGAGTCCCCTCAGCTCCTGTTCACTCCAGTAATTTGTTTCTGCTACCAGTACTAAGCACATAATCCTTCCACTGACATTAATTCATGTCTGGCTTTCCCATAAAGATGCATGCCTATTTTCAATGTACCAAGATTTATTCATTAGAACAGTTTAATTTAGATAAGAATGATGTCTTTTTATTGTTAGTGTAACTTGGAAAACTCTTGTTGGTCCACTCTTGTTGGTCAATCCGAAATTTACCTATAGCTTCTCTCTCTCAGGAGGCAACAAATCATCTTGGTAGCATAAGACTATATGCTTAACAAATGGCTTATTTTTCTCAGCCTTTTAGTATCAGCTGCCACTGGCAGCCACCTCACATTGTCTAATTCTAGGACTGGCCCTGCAATCAATCCTGATCTACCTGCACTCCTGCCTATCTTTGATTTAGGGCTTCAGTAAGTCAAACTTGGGGACGTAGTGGTGCTGCGGATTAAACCGCAGAAGCCTCTGTGCTGCAAGGTCAGAAGACCAGCCATCATAAGATCGAATCCATGCGATGGAGTGAGCTCCTGTCACTTGTCCCAGCTCCTGCCAACCTAGCAGTTCGAAAGCATGTAAAAATGAAAGTAGATCAATCCGTACCACCACGGTGGGAAGGTAACAGCGTTGCGTGTCTAGTTGCGCTGGCCACGTGACCACGGAAACTGTCTATGGACAAACACTGGCTCTATGGCTTGGAGATGGGGATGAGCATTGTGACCTGTGAGTCCTCTTACGGCAGAAGCTTTGATAGCAGCAGTGCAAAACCTGGGGAGGAAAAGTAACCTATGAACCCTCTGCAGATTCCAACAGAAGTACACACATTGTGTGCTGTAAAGCAAGGCACACTGGATGTGAATCCGAGCGTATATTGTGGGAATGGTTACTGTTGTTGGGTGCATTCTGCCACTTCTCCTGCAGCTCCAAAATTTAACTCCCTCTGGCCTTTATCTCCAGCTTCAGATTTTGGTGTGAAATATCAAGAGAATGGGCTGCTACTGGCCAAGCAATCCTAGCTGGGTTACTAGATGGCTGCTAGAAGTTCAAGCAGGACCACCTCCATTATTATGAGAGAAAACCAGCCCATGGTTTATTTAAATCTACATCCCGTATAGCTGTTTCATATATTAATCAGTAGAGTCTGTTAATTTACTACTAAATAAGTGTTTCCACCAGTTAGTAAAATAGTTGTGGGGTTTTTTAAAATCCAGCCATAACATTGCTTTCTGTTTCAAATCTGCTGTTTCTCTCATATTGTGTAAAGCTTCTTGCCTCATTTCTATTCTCGAAACACAAACTCAGTTTTTCAGAAGGAAGTTACCAGTTGATTGCTGAAAGAGGAAATACTGTACATATTAGGCTATGAGCCTTACTTACTTGGAGTGTCATTGAACTGAGTAGACTTGCTTCTGCATAGACATGCACAGGCTTCTGAGGTAAAGCTACAACCACATTATGAATTTCCTGTGAAATAGATGAGTTCCACAGAGTGTAGCAAGAGTTCAGTCTACAGCCTGGATTATTTTTTTAACTGGAAAGTCCAAGAAACCTCCAGTATTGGTTTCTGGGAACTGTAGTCCAAAAAAGTAACTTTTCCCTCTCTTTGGGAATTTAATTTCAATTAAATTTACTTAGAATTCCGCTACCAGAATTTATTATTTAGCATGTCTTCACCCTCATTTAAATTTGAGCAGGAAAAAAGAAAACCTAACAATATGCAATAAGCAATATAAACAAGATCTATTTTCCTTAAAAATAGATATTACTCCTGAGATAGTAATCAGTATCTTGTTATCTCACAGGGTCAGTTTATGAAATCTCTGGCAATGAGTGCTGCTTACCCACTGGAGACCTGATGAAAATTGTGAATGTTGAGCTCCAGAACATTAGCTGCAAGGATATGAAAAGCGGGCATGTTTTTCAGCTTCCACTGAATTTTAAAGGTATTCCCCTTATTATTA